CTCTTCTCTTCTCTTCTTTTTTTTTTTTTCTCCTTTTCTTTCCTTTTCTTTTCTTAAATGTATCTTTTCAAGAGTAACCGGGGAAAAAAGAGAAAATCGTTCTGGGCTTACCATCTTAATGTCAACATACACCTCCAGTAGTTTTCCACCAATCATAGTGCCGATGCCTGGTCCAATAATGAATGCAGTGAAAAACATACCAAGATACAAACCAGTATGTTTGGGGTGGACATTTTCATCGAGCCAAGCAGGGGCGAGTGATAGAAGAGGTGAAGATCCTACTCCTGAGAGAAGCTGGGCCAAGATGAAAATAAAGTAGTATGAAGAGGAAGATCTGGCGGTTGTTAAACAATCCTCGTCTTTGGCGACGAAGGTTTTATTGGAAACACAGAATGGAAGGCTCTTTGTTGAAACTGAAAATGAAAGTAGAAAAAGCATGACTAAGCTTGGTTACTGTTTCGCAAGGCAAGGCAAGGCAAGGCAAGGCAAGGCAAGGCAAGGCAAGGCAAGGCAAGGCAAGGCAAGGCAAGGCAAGGCAAGGCAAGGCAAGGCAAGACTAACAGCCATCTCACCTGACTGTGGATCGTAATCTTCAATCAAAAAGTGTGGCAGTGAATAAATCGCAGAAGCAAGACCAGATATGATGGCTCCACACCCCAACCACTTGCCCTTGTGACTGTGTCCGCCATAGAAACTAGCCAGAGTACCAAAGATCATAGACGTGATATCAGCAGCTGAGATCAATGTACCTGTTTGTTTGCTGTTGAGCAAGAAGCGCCTCTCTAAGGATGGTAGTGACATGGGTACGAATGTTAGAGAAACCATTCCTGATAAGAAAGAAACGGAGCTCAAGATTAAAATTTCTTTAAAAGTAACAAAGTATTAAAGATTTAAGAGAGAATCCTTTTCATATTCAAGCGGTGAGCGCCAAAAACTATTTTCTTGAAGAAAGGCTGTTGTACAAGGCTAAAATCTTGTTATTCACAAAATTTAACTTGTTTGGAAAAGGAGATGACCGATGAAAGTGGAATCAAAGTATTAACCCAAAGCAAAAATTTAAATCGAAAATGAGGTTTAGGCCTTCATTTGCTTATTTCCCATACATTTTCTATAAAAAAGCCTTACAAAGCTACATTCTAACACAAATGCAACAAAACATATTTGTACAATTGAAATACCACCGCTTCAAACAAACATTTCATCATAGTATATCAGTGTCTAACTGTTTAAAAAAGGTTTTGAGTGTTAACCCAAAACGAACATTGGGATCAAAACTCATACGAAAGTCTAGTTTTTGGCACTTTTCGCCCTTATTGCTCATTATTGAAAAAAAATTCTTCTTAACATCCTCGGGAACCCTTTTTTCACACGCAAACACACTAATATTATTATTTTTAAATTAATGACATAGCCGCTAAATAACGCGCGCTCTGAGTGCGCGAACAAGCACCCAAAAATGGATGGTGCACACTGACGTGATTGAGTAGCGCCCCCTTTGAAATGAGCATATTGTGAATTAAGCATAATATAACACTAAATCTAAGCATTACTAAAGAGGCATATTTGAATTTAAATGCAAATCCGACCACTTGCGTTTTAACTGGTTTAAAAAATAACCACGCCCTATTTTTAATGTTCGATGGAGGATTTGAATTTCAATGAAAAACCTGTTCCGGGTTTTGAATTCATCCCCGCTCTCCCCTGTTAGTATCAATGCTGAATTCAAAACCCGGGACAGGTTTTCCATCGAAATTCAAACACGACATCAAACAATAGAAATAGGGCGTGGTTGTTTTTTTAAAGATAGTACCAAAATTAAATTTGCCAGCGCGACAAACAACCGCTTTTGGTAGACGTCAATCAAGGCGTTTCCAGAACATTCCATAGGCACGTGCCCTTGAAAACTCTGTTTTTCCCGAAAATATCATTGAATAAACACTTTGATTGCAGTACCTTTTCAGTTCTCAAATTTGGAACATCTTCAGTTGATTTAGCCCTCTTTTGCAGACGCTTCATGTCGTTCACATAGGAGACTATATGCAGTTGACTTTCAGTTCAGAAATTGGATATATATATATATATATATAAAGAATTCCAATTATGGTTATGCTCGATGATTGACAAACGGAAGATATTTTGTTCGAGTTACGAGAAAAATCTTTCCCAAAAAAATGTTTTCTTTTAATCTTTGGCTTTTCGGGTTCAAAAATCCACCAGGCCGCCGACACTCGAGTGTACTGGATTATCCGATAAATTAAGATGGCATCAATGGACGACCTTTCATAATCACAGGAGAACGATTTTTGGAGAGTTGTTTGGGATTTGGGAGAACAGTTTTTGGAATTTTTCAGAAAACTAAAAGGAAAGAAAATTAAGAAACCTCGAAAGAAATAGAGCTTCAAAACCTGGTCCAAAGCTTTGAATCTAAATAAGAGCAACTTTCGGCCAGTTTAATTCCAAGGGCCACTTTTAAAAAGCTTAAAAAATAACGGGATTCGAAGCACTAGCATGAGAGGAAGGAAGGATATAAGAGCCTCTGGTGTGGAAATGCTTTTCACTTGTGAAAATAGAAGCCTGAAATATCAACCCTAACGTAAGATCGAAAAGCACTGGATTCTGATATATCTACAAAATAATTCTTAATATTAATAATTCTTATTAATAATTTTGATTAGTGAAAATACACAGGTGATTATTGAAAATCTCGCGCGCTGATTGGTCGAGAAACTCACACTATCACACGATAATCACCTCCAGCGATAATCCAAAATGGAAAAAAACGTCTTTTGTCTTCTTTTTTTTTTAGTTGTTGTTGAAAGAATCACCTGTGTATTTATACTAAAACAATTATTTACCTCAGCCTCAGTGAATATCGGAGAATATTTACCACGCCGCTTGAAGACTCGCGTCTCGGTAAATATTCCCCGATATTCACTTCGCCTTCGGCGAATAATTGTTAAATTTTATTCATTAAAATATTATACTATATATGTTATGATAATATTATATACGAGGAGTTACCTTGAGTGATAGTCAGGAAAAACAGTACAGCCATCAAAAATCTTGAACTGTTCAGCCATTGAAGGCACCGTGGCCTGAACGCGAACCAGCCCCAAGTTGATTCTTCTGATTGGACCAAGAAGCAGTCGTTTTGGTTATCACTTCGTACCCCTTCAAGAGATTTCAAAGTCTCCTCTGAAGGAGATTTTTCCTTCCAATTTGAGGCCATGGCGCAGACAACCAGCTCTGAAATCCTTCGTTCAAATCTGAAGAATTACTCTCGAGGTGTGATGAATGTAATGAATTCTCTCCTTGGTTTGGCACCCGATTCTCTACTACTTCGCTTCCTATTTTTCAATCTCTTAAGAACTTAATTACATCCGTGGGTTCTTATTCATTCATTGAATTATCACACTGATCTGAGAGATTTGGTTAATTGATTGGACAGTTATATAGTGAATGGCAGAGAGCAAAAACAGAGAGATCACATTACTGGGTGAAGTACTATTACTGTGTGATTTCCTGACATCTGCTTCGCAAGGTTTGTTTTTTTCTCCGAGCACAATAACAACAGCAAAAAAAAAAAAA